GGGGTGAAGAGGCTTCCCCGTGCCAGCGCTGTGTGGGGCTTTGGCACATGCAGGGCTTGGGTCCTCCTGGCCAGTGCCCCAGGCCAGAGGGTCTTGGGCTTTCTCAGGGCGCTGGCTCAGCCAGAGGCAGTGGGGGAAGGAAGGAGCCTGCCAGCGAGGCTGTTGGTGAGCTGAGAACTCTGACCAGCGCTGGGAGTGGGACACGGACCACTGGGGGGGATGTGGGGCAGCAGAGGGGCTTGGGGGCGGGGGGTGAAGGGGCAAAGCAGGGAGGACAGCAAGAGGGGGAGCACGTAAAGGGTCGATGGGTGGGCAGCAGAGGCAACACATAACCGGCCACCGCCTGGCGCCTGTCTGCACTCACCAGCCACCGCAACTCGCAGCCAGTGCCGGCCGGAAATGGGACCGGGGGGGAGGGGAGGGGTCCTGCTGGCTGAGAGCCAGCACACAGCGCGGGCTCTGCTGATGGACCAGCAGGGGAGTGGCCAGCCCTGCGCACTGCAGCTTTGCCCCACCACCAGCCTTGCACACCTGTCCCCATCGTCGGCCACTGGACTCCCGCCCCCCACCGCTGGTGGGCAAGCGGCTGGTGAGCAGAGATGCGTCCAGTAGCAGGACCCACCAGTACTGATGTGGGGGAGACAGAAAATACGGGACAATTTGCCTGTTTTTAAGAAAAAGTCGGGACACCTGCAGGAGGGCTTAAATATGGGACTGTCCCTTTAAAAACGGCACGCCTGGTCACCCTATGTTAAACGGTCACTATCTAAATAAATGTGTTTGCTAAAGCCAATTGCAAGACAATACATCTGGAAACCAAGAATGCAGGTTATACCTAAAGGATAAGAGACTATTTTGGAAAGCCATGACTCAGAGAAGGACTTAGGGTCATCACAGATAATTGCCACAGCATAGCACAGTGCAATACCACGGCCCAAGGGTTAATGTGAACCTCGGCTGTATCAAAGGGACAATATCAAACACATGTAGCGAAGTGATCTTGCCTCTGTACGCAGCGTCAGTAAGAGCACTTCTAGAATACTGTGTCCAGTTCAAGGAGGACGTGGAAATGCTGGAAAGTTAAAAGGGAGGACCACAGACATAATCCAGGGACTGGAAAGCAATCCTTATGTGAGCTCAATTCATACAGTTTATTGACGAGGTAACAACCGCTGTGTGTAAGTACTTAAACATGGATAAGATATCTGGTAGTGGCAGGGCTTTTCAATCTTGCTGACAAGGCATAACATGGTACAATGGCTGGAAGTTAAATTCAACCTCAAAATAAGATGCAATTTCCTAACAGTGAGGGTAATTACACATCAGTCCAGCTGACCAGGGGAGGTGGTGGACTCTATCGCTTGGAGTCTGTAAAGTGAAATTAGATGTCTTTCTAAAAAGCTATGTTTTAATCCAGCCTCTGGGAAATTTTCTACAGCCTGTGTAGTCAGACTGAGTGGTCGTGGCGGTTCCTTCTGGCCTTGGAGCCTGTGAATCCCCCTGTTCATTCCCTTCTTTCAGCAAACCCCACAGAGGTGGGGAAAACAGGAGTGCATACATTGCCCTCAATATGCTCATACCACTTGAAACTCTGCCTTAAGACAAAGATAATCAAATCTCGTGCATCAGGTCTTTAGCCCATTGCCTGCCAGGTTCGGAAGGATTTCCCCAGCTATCCTCCCAATGCACAATTAGCCAGATGTATTTTAGGGTTTGGTTGTTTCTTTGTCTTCCTCTGAAGCGTCAGAGATTGGTCACATATGGAGATGGGACACCAGATGGGGTAGTCCAGCGCTCTGAGGTGGTATACAGAATCCTCTTTCTTAGACTCTTGCTCCCATGCTCAAGGTTAAACTAATCACCAAATTTCATAGTTTCATAGATTCCAAGGCCAGAAGGGACCATTGTGATAATCTAGTCTGACCTCCTGTATAACACAGGCCAGAGACCTCCCCCAAAATAATTCCTAGAGCAGAGCTTTTAAAAAAAAAAAAAATCCAATCTTCATTTTAAAATTGTCAGTGATGGAGAATCCACCATAGTTCTTAGTAAATTGCGCCAACGGTTAATTACTCTCACTGTTATAAATTTGCACCTTATTTCCAGTCTGAATTTGTATAGCTGCAACTTCCAACTATTGGATCGTGTTACATCTTTCTCTGCTAGATTAAAGAGCCAATTATTAAACATTTGTTCCCCTTATAGACACTTATAGACTGTGATCAAGTCACTCCTTAACCATCTCTTTGTTAAGCTAAATAGATTGAGCTCTCTGAATCTATCACTGTAAGGCAGGTTTTCTAATCCTTTAATTGTTCTTGTGGCTCTTCTCTGGGCCCTGTCCAATTTATCAACGTCCATCTTGAATTGTGGACGCCAGAACTGGACACAATATTCCAGCAGCAGTCATACCAGAGCCAAATATAGAAGTAAAATAACTTCTCTACTACACGAGATTCCCCGGCTTACACATCCCAGATCGTGTTTGCTCTTTTGGCCAGAGTCACATTGGGAGCTCATTTCAACTGATTAGCTCCTGATCTTTTTAAGTATCACTGCTTCCTAGGGTAGAGTCCCCCATCATGCAAGTATGGCCTACATTCTTTGTTCCTAGATATATACATATACATTTAGCCATATTAAAACCAATATTGTTTGCTTGTGCCCAGTTTACCAAGTGATCCAGTTTACTCTGAAGCAGTGATCTGTCCTCTTCAGTATTTATCACTCCCCCAGTTTGTGTGTCATCTCTGCAGGTGGGAAGGAATTTGTCTGCTGGTCAAACTGGAGGTGTTACCCTCTCTCTGCAGCAGGGGCATGGACCACCTGCTAGGAATATCTGGACATATCTCATTAAACCAATTCCCTGCCACTGCAGGGCCCATGGGCATTGGTGGCACCTCAATCTTTCCTGTTCTCTGCATGTAGCACACAACAGTTTGGTCTCCTGAGGACTGAAATGTTTGTGTGTAACTGGGCTCAGTATAGGCATATCTGGGCAAAGTTTAATGGCCTGTGACATATAGGAGGTCAGACTATATGATATAATGGCTCCCCTTCTGGCCTTAAGCACTAGCACCACACAACTAGGTCATCACTCATCTAATTTACAACACTGAAGTCTGGTTTTGGTCTGAAAAGCAAGTACATAAAAATGGCACTATCTTGCTCAACAGACCCGCTCCCTACATGAATTCAATCATAACTGCTTGATCTACTAAATGAGGCCATATTTTTACTGCTTTTTCCTTCTGTAGTCACCAAAGAGTGTAAACTAGATTCTATTCTGGCTCATACATGAACAGAATTATTAATTTAGTTCCAGTTGCAGGATCTTTACTATTCAAGAATTATGTAACTGGTGATCATGCATGAGCCAGAAGGAACAGCTCAAATTTCTGAGCCCAGTTGCAGCTTGCTGTGATAGTTTTTAAAAAGAGGTTTTTGCACTTATAAACCAAGCACATTTGATAGATATGTCATTCAGACACAAACATGGAACTTCATAATGCTATTTTTACAGTGACTGATCACATTTTAAGGAAAAAGAAGTAATTGGATTTCTCAAAATCTCTCAGGACATGTCTACACTGGAGCTACAAGGTGTAATTTCCAGCTCAAGTAGCCATCCCCATGCTAGCTCAATCACTTCTAAAAGCAGAAGCATATCTACAGTGGCATGAGCAGCAGGATGGACCAGCCACCAAGTACGATCCCATGTGAGAGCACGGGTAGGCACTCAGATGGTTAGTCTTTCCTGCTGTGGTTATACTTCTATTTTTAGTGTGCCATCTCAATCAGAGCTAGCACAGGTATGGCTACTTGAGGCATAGCCTCAGTCTACTGCAGGGGTCGGCAACCTTTCAGAAGTGCTGTGCCGAGTCTTCATTTATTCACTCTGATTTAAGGTTTCGCGTGCCGGTAATACATTTTAACATTTTTAGAAGGTCTCTTTCTATAAGTCTATATTATATAACTAAACTATTGTATGTAAAGTAAACAAGGTTTTCAAAATGTTTAAGAAGCGTCATTTAAAATTAAATTAAAATGCTGATCTTACGCCACCAGCCTGCTCAGCTCGCTGCCAGCCTGGGGTTCTGTTCACCTAGGCCGGCAGCGGGCTGAGTAGTGCCTGCGGCCGGAACCCCAGACCTGGGGGAGGAGGGGGTGTTTCAGGGGTCAGGGCAGAGGGCTGGGGGAGGGGGTTCAGGGCAGAAGGCTGAGGTGTGTGTGTGGGGTGGGTTCAGAGATCAGGGCAGAGGGCTGAGGGCTGTGGGGGTGCAGGGCAGAAGGCTGGGTCTGTGTTGGGGCGTGGGGGGTTCAGGGCAGAAGGCTGAGTGTGTGTGGGGGGGTTCAGGGCAGAGGGATGGGGCTGTGGGGGTGCAGGGCAGAGGGATGGGGCTGCAGGGCAGAGGGATGGGTGTGTGTTGGGGTGGTTCAGCGCAGAGGAATGGGGGGTGCAGGGCAGAGGGGTGGGGTGCTCGGCCCGTGGGGGTGCTCCCAGCCCCCTGTCCTGAGCGGCTCAGGGCAGGGGGCTGGAAGGGATATGCCCTGTTCCACCCCCTTCCCCCAGGGTCCATCCCTACCTCTCTCTGCATCCTTTACAGAGCTGTGTGAACGCTGCCGCTCTTCGCCCTCCCCCTCGCTAGGGCCATCAGCTGATTGGCCAGGGACGGAGAGGAGGAGGGGCAGGAAAGCACCGCTGGGGGAAGAAGAGGGGGAGGGGGGAAGCTTGGCTGCCGCAGAACCAAGCTTCTGCCTCCTGCCCCCGCAGGAGAGAGCGGTGGTCGGGGGGGCTGAGTGGGGCTGGGGGCCGGGACCGCGGCAGGGAGTTGCGTGCCACTCAGAATCGGCTCGCGTGCCGTGTTTGGCACGCGTGCCGTAGGTTGCCGACCCCTGGTCTACTGTAAGCTAGAGAAAACATATCTAAAGGGAAAATACAACATGCAATACCCATCCAAACCACTGGGGACAACACAGTCAGCCTTCCTCAGTCCTACCTGTCCCCACTGTGGCGCTGCTCACTCCAGGTACCATATTGACTGTCAGCCTCTTGCACAAGTGTGTCGGTGTCCTTGGCCTCTGGGGGTTGTCTGGCAAAGCACTGCCTCAGTTGATCCTGCAACACAATAGAATAGAAGTTTAACATGCAACCTTTACCAGTTTGGTTAAACAGTTTACTGAGTTAATTTATGCCTGCAGCTTTCAAATCCATAAGTCTAAAGCTGAACGAGAGTAAACTTATGCACAGAAACACAGTTTAACTAGTAAAATGTCTATAAACACCCAAAGGTTAGTAGGGTCTCTATGAAAGATGTGCTTTATTTTCATGGGCAAATCATTGGGGCCTGAAGCAGGAAATGATTATTTTGTTTCATTAACTCAAAGATAGATGGCTACAGTTAATGCCTCTTCTAGTTAACAACAGTTAGTAATTTTTGGAGGGCATCATGTAAACACACGATTCTACTGAGGGAATAACAGAAGTTGTGTACTTTGTCCTCACTTCTAGATTCTTCTATAGGAGTATTTCGGCAGCATGGAAGCTCCTTGAAATAAAATGATCTTGCCTGACAATTGCACCTGTTTGGCAAACATTGCTCTCTTGCTCATTCCTTCCTCACTTTTGTTTATAATGCTGCAGAATCATTTGATGGAGCACCACTTGATCCACTTCCTTGTTTGTGCAGTACCATCATGACTGGCTCAGTAGGAACGTGCATCGCTTAGAAACTGATGTTTGTTAATTAACTGCTGCCCAAAGTCAAAGGAGGAAGCAGAAAGCTTGCTGTGCAGGTCCACACAAGAACCTATTGTTTTTACAGACTACATTTTTTGGAATATATTCTGAATCCATAGCCTTTCCTCCATATGATCATAACTATTTGAATAGGTTATATTTGGAGTCTCATTTACTTGTCAGTGTTCCTTTTAAACACTGGATTGCTATTTTATTAGCTTTTAACTTTTTCGTTATAAATCCACAAGAACATTTAAAGCTAACAAACCTCTGAGGGAGAGAAAACAAACAGTACACAGTATCACACAGCAGTGAGTTTTCTTCAGCCTTTATACTATAGTTCCATATGTCATTAAAAACAAACTGCCGTTTTCTTTTGAAGTGTCATTTGTAACTGTGTGAAACACAGCAATAGAGTCTGATGTGAAATGACATTTCCAAGTGATCCTCAACAAGTCATTTCAACCACTTTTTCTTCTTCTCATTTCTGCACCGACTCACAGTGTCGGAAGTCATTACACACTGACATTTTACATCTGCATTGTGACATTATGTCTGATCTCCAAGTGCATTGGAAGAGAATGCCACATGTGGTTAATTTTCAATTTGAAGCCATAAACGTAGTGAGAATACTCTTTCTTAGTCATGTGTGTCATTTATTGTTCCTACAACATTTGATCACAGAAATTAGAAACAAGAGACAGAGACTCATCTTGTTCCTCGCTCCATCAGTGCAGAAAGTGCCCTAAAGCATAGATGAGTGTTTTGTCTTGTTAAAGTGAGGGAGGGGAGCAGGTGCCTTAGGAGGAAAGTGATATGGATGCTCCTTAGGGTGAGAAATTATTCAGCAGCATCCACCAAGTCAGTGAAAGGTGTCAGAGTGACAGCTCTGGAGCCCCAACCTCTGTCTAGCCACAGAACTGGAGCACAGCAAGCAGCAGGAACAGTTTCTTGCCATAGCTTCACTGAGATGACACCAGCTGATGTGGAGGGGCCATCCCTAGGAGGAGAAGGATAATTCAGTCTCCATGACCATTTAGTACTTGACCTCTCTCGAGGGACTGCCAAAGTTGCCAATCAGCACCTAACATTGAGTGTTGGGGGGGTGGCAGCTATGTTGTGGACACTTAACCTGTATGCAGGGCCAACGAGAGAGGAGGGAAGCTGGTACAAATTACCGGGGCCCAGCGGTCCGGAAGGGGGCCCGGGGCCCAGCTTCCCCTCCCCCCCCCCCCCCCCCCCCCCCCCGTTTAGCCGGCCCGCCCCCCCTGGGGGGGCCGCAAATATTTTTTCCCCGGGGCCCGCCCCCGCTCTCGGTGGCCCTGCCTGTATGAGCTGGATTAAGACCACCTAACTCATTTTACACGGGCCAACCAAAAGCCAGATGATGGTTATGATTGTCAGTTACCAAAAGTCTGTGTAGGATTTGAACCAGCAAGTAGAAGTGAAAGGCTCTCCCTGCCATTATCAATCTCCAGACAATTGAATTCTGTCACTTGGACAATTAGCTGCTGAACAAAAACCAAAGGACGCTCATTACTTTTTGAGCATGCTCAGCAAATACCAATATAAAAATAGTACAGTACACTGACAAAGGCAGGAAAAATAGTTTTTATAGGACAACACTTATGAAGATGAATGGCACATTGGTTCACTTCTATAGGAGTTGTAGTGTAGTCACAACTGTCTCCACAGAAAATTTTAAGATGTACGTATAAGTAATTACACAAGAGGGGATAGGAGTTTTATAACTGCTTGCAGAACAGTCAAGAACACAGTTGCCATGAAAAGAAAAGCAGCAGTAGAAATGCAAGCCCAACTGTGAGCCTTTGGATCTCTCACATTAAAAGAATACTGTCCACACGCCTCATGTTTGCACTACAGGAATCAATATAGAATTCGCCAATGGTTGTAATAAAAACTGTAAAAATCAACACATCCCAAGATGCACTTGCGTGTGAGCCGTACACTGAGAGCTGTGCACAGAAATTGGTTTGTGTCCTTGGTGTGGCAGAAGATTCTCATGGACGTCTTTGGAAGCTGTGCTATATAATGAATGCAATATAACAACAGGCAGGGCTGGCGGCCCCACCCATTATTAAGGTTGCCTGAAAATTCCCTTTATATGGCTCTGTTTTCAGTTGCCTATAACTTTGCCAAACTTTAACCCTTCAGGCTGCAGTTTTTCATGCTGTGTGTGTGTCTGTCTCAGGAATCTTGTGAAAATAATTTCATTAGTGTTAGGGAAATATTCAGATACTCTAGAGCTGAGCCTCATAATAAAGCCTGTGAGGAAATAAATAATTCTGTGTTCTGAGCAGGGTTTGAATAGTGCGCAATAACTAAGACCTAGGGTCACACATTGAACAATTAGAATATTGACTAGCTGCTCATTAAGCAAGCACCATCCATCCAGTGCCCTGAATAAAGCAGGAAAAATAGTATGTGATCATGCAATTAAAGACTGTATCATAGCGCACAATGCATGCACACAAGAGGGCTGAATGATGGTTGCATGGGCAACCTTAACTCTGGCATTTCCTAACTTCTGAGAGCTTGACTTTGCATCCTTAATAATGTATTTTAGCAGTTTGTGCCTGTAATAAATAATAATAATCTCTTCTAAAACGTTCATCCATAGTTCTCAAAGCGCTTTATAAAAAAGTATAATTATCCCCATTTTTGGATGTGGAAAACTAAGGCACAGGGAGGTGAAGTAACTTGCCCAAGACTATATACGCTATGCAATATAAACTGAATGTTATTCTGGATAGTAAATGTACTAAATGATAGCAAAGGGTTCTTTTAACATTGATTGGCTTGCTATAGGTACCCATCTTCAAGTTAGTCTTGTGAGGCACTCTGAATGGTGTTTTATGGAAAGCAGAAGTGTAAAAAAAGTCTTACATTCATTTTCAGTAAGCACTTCTCTGAGTTCCTATAAACATAGGTATAAAATTACCATATATCCCGGTTATTTTTCAGCTGAAGTCACAACACTGATTTAGTACATTCAAATATTTGCTTTGTTTTTACATTTCCTCAATTTGCTACGACTATGTACTTGGTAATGCTGTAAAAAACCCAAATGTAATAAAACAATATTTGGGATGGAAAAAGCAGAGACATTCATAACTGAAACTTCCTACTTCACTGCCTCCCATCTCTTTTCCTTGGATGGTAAAAACAAGCAAACACAAACAAACATTTTCTCCAAGGTGGAGGCAGGAATCAGAATCTTAACCTCAACTGTGCCTGTCATTTGTTCAGTTATATGGCGGTCACAACTTCTCATTAGTCAGCAAACTCTGCATTTAATAAATACACGGGGCTAGATTCTCAGCTCCAGTTTTGTCCCCTTGCACCACCCGAGCGACACAATGGGGATGTAATCCAGGCAGTTGAGAATTCCCCCAGCAGAATTAAGGGCAGAACACTTTCCCAGTAGTAGTAGTAGTGTTGCATAATGACAGATATTAGAAGGTGTTTGATAAAAAGCAAACCAGATTAAAGTGTAGCTATAATGGAATGAATTAGAAGGGTAGTAATAGATATAACCGAATATCCTTGCCTTTCTGCATTGTATCTCTCATCTTTCATTTTCAAATAACTGTCTAGTGAAGCTAGCAGGTTGTATTACTAATAGATATAAGTGACAAATATGAAGGAATCGATCCCCTTTTGGGGTGGGGGGGGGAGAAATGGGTCATATTTGATGTTGTTGATATCCTGAATTTGCAGCCGACAGATGTAAAGTTACAGCTATAACATCCTACTCCAAAGTAAACCACTCTAGTGCCTTCTGTTTCCCAGTGGCACTGAGTCATCCATTGAAGTTAGAAATTATGTATCATGTACAGACATGCTGGCTCCTTCTTGCATTCATTATCCCAAACGGCCAACAAACATTCGTATTTTCTTTCTAGGGTAGTGTTCAGTTCCATGCCATTTCCTTCAGTGTATAATCCTTGAGGAGGATACCTGCATGATTTTCTGCCTGTTAGGACTGGTCTATACTGGAAAATGTTACCAGCAAAAGTTCTGCTGGTGTATTGCTGCCAATATAGCTACTTTGGCAGAGTGTGTTCACATTTGGCTGCCTTTGCCAGTGCTGTATGTCCTCACAGCATCAGGCTGTACCAACACAAAATGTGTTGCGCCATGGGTAGACATCCCAGTGTACACCAGCACCATCAGCTGACGCACAACCTTGTGGGAAATTTTTGCAGTGTACTGTGGGATACAACCACTCTTATAAGGGATTGTGGGAATTTTACCCCAAACTGTCACAATTCTCTCTGCTCCATCCCATAATCTACCCTTTTGCACTAGTTTTACTCTTTCTGCCATCTGACCACAAAAGACATGGATGCCACACA